AGTTACAAAAATCGTGCCGGGATCTGACATTAATCGAAGCAAATTAAGTTTTTCCGATTTTTTAAGCATTTCTCTTATTTTCATTTGTAACTTGGTCCTACATTCATGGGCCCTCAAATAAACCCTATACTATTTGGAAATAGAAACGTATGGTACACAACTTGGAAGGGTTACATTTCTGGACATCAAGAGAGTTTTAAGAGTGAATAATTTTTGTAAGAAAGAGGCCCAGTTTTGCGTTCTTGCTCAAGATGAGTAGAGCCAAACACGGTGGTCTCTTGTTTCTTGACAGCAAGATTTACGCGTCAGTTCATTATCTTTTACAAATGACCTTCAGACTAGTCGCAAGGCTTTGATTTAGGAGCGGGTTACGTCGCTAGGGTATCCCTGAAGGGTTGATTCTACTGAAAATTCAACTGCATCATATCTAAGTATGGGAAACTTTACACTGACGATAGGATTAGGAGTTAATAGTACCATTGTAACTCGCAACTTGCTAAATACGACGGAAAGGCTTTTTGTGCGGTTTTTCAAAAACTACGGCTATCATGTTGTTATAAAACGGAAACGAGATTGTTTTAATTTAAGAATTTGAGTAAACATATTCAGATGAACAAGGCGCTAAGTGAAAATCGTAATGTATTTTAAGAATTGTTGAAAATCCGTCTTTTTCGTTTCTTCTTTTCACAGTTATATTTTATTTGGAGCTGCGCGTATAGTATGTTCTCAGTCACAAAACAATAACTATACTGAAATTAATTTAATTAAATGAAGATCACCGCCCTTTTCCCTGCTGTTTTGCAAGTGATTACGTGCGCCTATATTTTATATGAAGTTTTACTGTATCGCTGAACGAAAAAATGATTCGAGAAAATTGAGCAACCTGTAGTAAACGTACAGCTTTGCATTTGATGAGGTGAATTTTTTTAAGCCAACCATAACTTTATTAAAGGCCATGTTATAGGAAATCACTGTATTTTTGTTTTGTTTTGTTTTGTTTTGTTCTGTTTTTTTATGCGGTTTCACCGCTTCGCTAAATGAAAGAAAATCAGTGAAAATCGAGTAGTGTGTAGTCAGACACCGCTAATGAAAATAGATTGTACAATGTGTTTGCCATTAAAAGAACCCTCAACTATATTTTATATACGTATTAAAAACATGTATCTTCATTGCATCAGTATTCAATTAGGATCGGCGCGCAAACCCAAGTAATTAGAGAATCATTTTCTAAGAACACACTTTTTGTTATTGTTTCAGTTAAATTTCCACTTCAAACTTTACTTCAAAAAGGCATTTACTCGCGTGTGAACCGAGATTATTCCTTTCTGGAAAAGTGACCTATGGATTAATGGCTAAATTTTAGAAAATTTCGCGAAAAATGTTGGTGGGAAATGTCTACACGAACCTCTACCACACTTCAGAAAAGACACGCTTGTTTTCCTGCAATATGGCTTGGTTAGTGCTTGTGTACTGACATTCAGTAAATGCAAACTCGTCCTATTCGGCCGGATCGAACGTACATTTTGCTTTTACTGGGTTCATGAATTTCGTGCGTTGTACAGAGTCTGTGTCGGTTGTTTTCCGGGGTTCACATGAACTCTGTTCAGATATCGCGTCACTAGTACTGTAGAAACGTGAATCGTGAGAGGGGTTAATTAGTCTACAAGGACCATGAACGCAGCTTGTCAGACTAATATTTCAGTTTGTTTTGCCGTATAACTCAGTCAATTTCAGAAATTTCTCCGAAAGTAAGCAAATTGTTTTATCATAGGTGATGAAGATCTCAATTTACATCCTTTTGGTTAGAGAAAGATTCCCCTGTTATGTTCTGTTTTGGCGGGTTTCTTCAATACTCTGTAGCGGAAACCGCAGATATTCTTTCAGTTGCCAAGATATGCGAGTTCACACAGACAAGATCAATAGCTTTGTGTACACCTTTTAACCTAGTCTCGGGCGGCTAATTTTATCTCATGATTCTTGGAATTTGGCTAATTTAAAGAAACTGCTTTCAGCAAAAAGGCGTCTAGAGGAAAAGGAACAGCCTTGAAACTGAAATGAATGTTCTGTTTTCCGCTAATTTGGGAGAAATAAAATAATTATGTATCCGGTCACCTTCTGTGATGTTATTTCCACTCGTTTTGGGTGTCATTATGAGAAATATAGCGTTTAAAAATACGTTTAAACATCAAAATTGATTAATTTATTTCAAAATGGCTTCATTTTTTAAAATTTCGTTCTTGTCAACGCAAAACGAGTAAAATTCATTCAAGACTTTTTGCGCCAAAAGGAGTAACTCTTGAGCAAATTGGATCCACATTATCCAAAACATCGTCCTTGTACAAATTTTTGGGTTTGCCTCGATTTGGGTATCTCACTGCTCACACTGTTGTACAAAAATAAATGGATGAAAACGCAATTTTTAGTAATCGATCCGAATTGGAAATAGATAAAAATAAATTCTCCTATACATGGTGTTGGAACATTCGTTCAATTTTGAAAAGATGTTATTTGTGAATCTTTGACTTTTACGACGCTTTCGTTTTGCAATTTATCTTAATGTTTGCACGCATTTAACGAAACTTCCCAGAGGTCATGACTCATCTTCCTATAATTCGACTAGCGAGTCGATTGTATAAAAACAGCTCTTTTTATAAAAGCTAACTCAATTATTGTCTGAACTCGTCTAAGAGTCCTTTCTAAAGATTGTCTTCTTTCGGTGATATGTAAATAGTATTTTGGACACTTCTCGTATAAATTCAAAGTTGGGTGACTTTGAAGAGAGAAACCTACATTCGGGTAGAACACAAAGTCAGCTTTGATTTTCAAGTAAGTTTATTGAAGGGAATCGAAGGCAATACCATTTGAACAATAAGTAAAATATGGGGTGAATAGAACTTGAGTTATCTTGAAATATAGAGAAATTCCAAACGTATGTGAAACTATAAACTATAAACTATCAACAATTAAATATTTACCAACATGATAACTTACTGACGTGAATGAAAGTGATCCTCGCAGTACTGTGCACTACTTAGGCAGTAGTGAAAATAAGGCCTGAAAAAAACTCAGGCCTGTACGGGATTTGAACCCATGACCTCTGCGATACCGGTGCAGCGCTCTACCAAATGAGCTAACAAGCCAACTGGGAGCTGGTCATGATGTTGGTTCTAAATAAACCCGTGAAGTGATGAATAAACGGTTAAGAATATATGAAAGTCATATATTTGAACTGCGGATAAAGACGTGAATGGCCTTATTTTCACTGCTGCCTAAGTAGTGCACATTACTGCGAGGATCACTTTCATTCACGTCTTTATCCGCAGTTCAAATATATGACTTTCATATATTCTTAACCGTTTATGATGACTTACTGAATAAGGAAGATGACGAATTTAGCGCTCGGTTGTGGAATAAAGAAGGTCTTTTTGTTTCAATAAGACCGTGAGACAAAGAACTCCGTTGTGAAACAAGCGATATACTTTGACACGTACGCGTCCTGCATGCTGCTTGGATCAGCAATGTCAAAAGCGTCTTGTGAGTCAACAGCATAAGAATGTTGTTTTTTTTTCCGAGGTTCTGGTAATGATTGCATTATACTAAGACCTAGTTAATAGCTAGTATGAATAAAACGTTTGCATAGATGCAATGTAATCATGCAGATCTGGAGATCTGAACACGGTCAATTCGATCTGATCTATTCAACGTTGTACAAGTGATTTTTATGTTCTCAGCTCTAAAAATTTCATCTGTGTCTTCTATAATTGGTGTTGAAACGTTCATTCAATTTTGAAAAGGTGTTATTTGTGAACCTTTGACTTTTACAACGACCTCGTTTTGCAATTTAACTTAATGTTTGCACGCATTTAAGGAAACTTCCCACAGGTCAAGACTCATCTTCTTATATTTGAACTAGAGAGGAAATTGTATAAAAACAGCTCTATGTATAAACTTTAACTCAATTATTGTCTGAACTCGTCTAAAAATCCTTTCTAAAGAGTTTCTTCTTTCGTTGATATATAAATAGATAGGAAAAAGGACACTACATGTACTTGAGAACGAATAAAGATAAAAATGGCGCTCAGAAATAATTTGCTTTGTCTACGGAAAGCTTTGCTAGTATAGTATAGTATAGAGGTTTTAGTTCTTCAACGAGCAGAAACATTGCACAACATAACCTATCTGCAAAAATAGAACATTTCCCATGTAGTTGTTTTCATAATTAGGGATAGTCGGAAGTTATGGAATTTTTCAGATGTTTCAGCTATCACGATTAATATGATTAGTAAAGTTGCGAGACTTAAGAGTGGTCTCCATTTTTACACGATTTTAGAGATTTTAGAGACGTAATTTTTGTGTTTTTATTTTCCTGAAATACGAATTAGGATTTCTTACAAGGTAGAAAATAGTAAAAGTGTTGTAGAATCTCAGGAAACGTCTAATCTCTCGCTCCAGCCCTTTTGCATTACGCAGTGTGCTTGTTTCCTTTACCAAGCTGGCGTGTTTTCAAAACAACTTACATAAAAATTTTTTCCTGAACGGATTATAACCAAATTAACAACAAATTGGAAATTTACGGTTAATTCCCTGCATTTCTGTGGCTATCCGCTGTGGTTTTTTTTACCCAGGGAGGTTATTATTCCTGCCGTCATCGGAAAGAGAGACCCATATGAGCTCAATAGGAGAGATTCTGAAAACGCCCTCCACCGCAAGGAAAATCCCTACAAAAATTCCTGTAGAAGTGAATTCCAGAAAAAACTACTGCAGGGAGATACTATTCATTTCGTGCGTAAACTCGCCGTGAAACGACAATTCACCTCAAACGGCGAATAGCAGAAAGAGAGGTGGAATTTATGTCGCAATTGGAAATAACCTGATGCAAGTGATGACGGACAACGTACCACCAGTTGTTATGTTATGATTTTATTGGTCAAAGTTGACTTCAAGGGTAACATAAAATCGATCGCGGTAAAGTCATATTTAGCTTGTTACTGTTAGTCACGAGAAGGGAAAGAAGTAAAAAGCTAATTTTCGGCAAGTGTCGCTCGTTTGTAAAGGAGAGGTCCATTCAGTATGCGTGAAAGAGGAGGCAAAGTTGGCTTGTGCAGATTACAATGGTTTTTCTCGATTATCTTTATTGCTTTTGTGATAGCTGTGGCATGTTTTGTGAACGAGGCGGAATCAGTGCGCGAGTCGAAAGCTGTGAAAAACTCTAAATCCAACAAAGAAAAGGTAAAACTATTTGAAAAAGCGATTATGAAAGGAGTTGTTTACTGGAAATCAAATGCAGGACTAAGGAAAGAGGTGATCTTAAGATGTTTTGAAGATGTTAGGTCGAATGGGTACCGGAGAGGTGTATTATTTTATCGCACGCGCTTTATCTGAGATCAAAACAAAAACTAAGGGTTGCTTACTTAATAAAGAGGGTTACATTTGTCTTCGGAGATTCATTGGCGATAGGCCGGGGAGTTAGCTTTATTCATGTGTCGTGATAGAATGTTTTCTCAGTTAACGCACAGACAAGTTGTTGTTCAAAGTTGTCAATGGCCTGAACTTAATGAAATCAGTTCTCCAGTCTCGCTAGATATTGGTTACTGATAGCCACCCAGAATTAAAGCAGGCTTTATCAACAATGATATTGCGCGGCAAACTAAAAATAATATGATCATTAGTTGTTAAAAAGTTCTTATATTCATCTCTCAACTGTGTGTATACATACAACTGTATAAAATATCCTTAAACCAAATATGTCCTTTACAAATCAGAATTTGACGGGTGATAGCGGATGTGGTAACAGTAGAATAATATTAACAGTACAATTCGGATTTAAATCTTCATATCATTGGTAATAAAACATTATGTAATAGAATATGCAATATTTATCGGTATATTTCCTTAAACAGGACGCCGGACAAAAGGAAATAATCCATTTTGTTTTTAAAATGCTTTTTGTCTGACCGAGAGAAATGTTACAACTGGAAACGTGAATTTCGCAAGACAACAGATGTGATTTCTATTTGTTTACCACAAATGTTTCGCTTTCCTATGTTAAAAAAAAAAAACAAAGAAAATTCATGGTTTAAAGAAAGATAACGAAGAGCAAACATTTTGAAAGTTACTCTGCGAATCTGAGAATTTTCTCATTTATTTTCCTTGCGGCTTTTCATTTGTTTTGTGTTGTTTTTTCCGCACCAGGGGAAATGCAGAATCCTTCAAGATAAGGAGAAATATTACTACGTGCAATGTG